TCTTTGATTCAGTGTTAAAAAAAAAAAAAATGCACATAGTAAATATGTAATATTGAAAAGAACACAGGAGGAGGGTGGATTATAGATATAAGGCATGATGGGGGAGAGAGAAAATGTTATTTTAAAATGAAGTGTCATTTCATTGGGTATGTGGGACATAAGTAAACAGAGTGAAGGAAGTGCTGTGGAAATGTAAAAAAAAAAAAAAAAAAATCTACTAGTCCTTTTACACAAAATAATTTTGGATTGAAGCACCTGCCCAGAGTCCTGGGCATTAACATGCTTGAAAACATGTAAAAAAAAAAAAACGGAGACAAAAAAGCTGATTTTGAAACAATCTCCATCTCTGTTATAATTCATAACTTTTTGGCCTCAGTTTTTCCCTTCAGGATTAATTTGTGAAAATTCTGAGTTTAGTGGATAACCACGTGTGTCTGTATGTGCAGGATGTGTAATGTGTTTGTGTGTGATATTTGTTGGCTGTGTGTAGTGTCTGATGTGTTTTACCTCCCCCTGCACAGCGTTCGGAAGGGAGGTAGTTTGTGGTCCATTGAGAGTTAAAGTACCTGGTGATCTAGTAGGAGAGTGTCTAAGACCTTACTAAATGCTCCTTCGTTGTGCCAGCATTTATTAAGTCAGAGTGCATTGCAAATCTTTTTCTGGATGACAAAAAAAAAAAAGAGAGAGTGAGTGGGAGAGAGAGAGATTAACCCAATTATTAAAGTTCATAAATTGGATCCTAGTTCATTAGTCCTCTTCAAACAGCTGCAGGAGATTTTACAAAAAGGGGTGGCAGATAGTTACAATGTGTGATCAGTGCTAGATTAAGAACCCATTGGGCCTGGTGCTGACAATTATGTTGGGCCTAATTACAGAATCTTATCAACAGAAAACACTAAAACAGTCATACCTCCCAACCATCACGTATCTGGTGGAGGTGGTGCTGGGGGGAAACTCACAGGATATAACGATTAGAAAAAAAATACCCTATTCTAATCTCTCGTTTTCATCTTTCATGTAATAGCAGTGTCTCGTGCCAGGCACCCCCATACTCCATTCATATTTTGATAATAGTCCCTTTATCCTAGGTGGGAACCCATGCACTTTAATGGCTGTTTAGTAACTATGAAGATGGGTGACAACTAAGTAGAATTAATACTATGGTTTAATGTATGGGTGTCCAACCGTTTGGCTTCCCTGGGCCACATTGAATGTAGAATAAAGTGCCTTCCTGCACACTGGTCACACACACTAATAACACACACACTCAACACATACTCAAATCTACACAAAGAGATCAAAATTTACAATCCACATTTTATCCACCCCCCCCCCCCCGATACCATACCTTTTTGGTGCTGGAGGATGGAGTCCCTGGGGGTCCAGTGCCGTCTGGCTTAGTCTGATAGGAGTCTCCCGTGCAGCTTCTTCGCAGCTTCTCCGCAGGGCGGGTCAAGGCTTATAAAGCCTTGCCCCGCCCTGCAATTAGGCTTAGAACACTCTGATTGGTGGGTTTAAGCCAATCAGAGTGCTCTGAGTCATTTTACACAGCGTGGGAAAATTCAAAAGAACTTTCCCATGCTGTGTAAAATGACACAGAGCACTCTGATTGAGTGCTCTGTGTCATTTTACACAGCATGGGAAAGTTCTTTTGAATTTTCCCACGCTGTGTAAAATGACTCAGAGCACTCTGATTGGCTTAAACCCACCAATCAGAGTGTTATGAGTCATTTTACACAGCGTGTGAAATTTCTTTTGAATTTTCCCACGCTGTGTAAAATGACTCATAACACTCTGATTGGTGAATAACCAATCAGAGTGTTATGAGTCATTTTACACAGCGTGGGAAATTTCTTTTGAATTTTCCCACGCTGTGTAAAATGACTCATAACACTCTGATTGGTGGATAACCAATCAGAGTGTTATGAGTCATTTTACACAGCATGTAAGCCACCCAATCAGAGTGCTCTGTGTCATTTTACACAGCATGGGAAAGTTCTTTTGAATTTTCCCACGCTGTGTAAAATGACTCAGAGCACTCTGATTGGCTTAAACCCACCAATCAGAGTGTTCTAAGCCTAATTGCAGGGCGGGGCAAGGCTTTATAAGGGGCCAGGGGGGGAGGACAGTAGGTCCCCCCCCCTTATTGTTTTACTGGGGCCCCCACCCACCGCTCAGGGGTGGGGGCCGGGGGGGAGGACAGTAGGTCCTCCCCCCTCATTATCTTCATGGCCCCCACCCGCCGCTCAGGGTGGGGGAGGGGGGAGGACAATAGGTCCGCCCCCTTATTGTAATTTATGTCATTTTTTTCAACAGTGAGCAGCCACAGATTTTAATCTCCCTTGTGCTATTATGGGGGTCATATTGACCCCCATAGAGTGAGAGGGGGACCTGGGGGGGCTTATGAAGTGGTGGGGAGCACTGCTCCCTGCCGCTTCTATCTTTACATCTTACAAGGAGGGATCTGCACGCTGGTAGCTCCCTCCCTGTAATAAGCTGCACGAACAAACATACACTGATACATTGTGTTTGTTTGTTCGGCTGATATTTCTATTCACTCATTCGTCTGTCTGATGAATGAGTGAATAGATGAAATTCCCGTTCGCATGTCCAGGTGTTTCACTGGGCATGTGCAGGAATCTCAGTGTCTGCCTAGTGTGGGCTGATGACGTGTCCCACAGGGACTTCACCTACCCACACAAAGATGGCGGCGCCCTGAATATAGATCGGGGCAGAAAATAAGGATTAAAAAATAGGTAATGTGGGGGGCATAGGGGCATTTGGGGGTGACTAGTGGGTCAATTGGATGTAGTGGAGGCGGGAGGGGGGTTAAAAAAAAAAACGAGATTCGGCATGACAGTGCCGCTTTAAACCAGGAGGAAAGGACTTGTAATCACTTCCTCCTGGTACTGCGGCATCATACAAAGCAGGGCCCGGTCCCGCTCTTTCAGAGCCGCGTTGTCTGACCGGGTCCCTGAATCAACTTGCGAATAGTACCGCGACTGCTGGGCCGCATTGCCTGCGGTTCCGGGCCCCGTGGGCCGCGGGTTGGACATGACTGCTTTAATGTTTAAATTCATAACCAACGCTGTTCTTACAAATCAATAGGAAAGGTAAAGTCAACAATAGTCCTTACCATTCCTACTTAGGAATGCAGGGGGACCCCTAATCATGAAATCCACAATATTTAACTAGTTGTTTATTATATAACAATGACGGTCTTTGAGCACACTGTCAGGCTTGCTAATAGTTAAGCCACCAGTCCTGTGAGGTAGAGCCCTATGTGAGCTGCCTGACTGGTGTTCTAAACATGGAATAAATGAGTAATGCAAGTAGCTGTCTTGCTGTTTGATGCACTCATTCAAGCTGCAGCCAGATAAGGCCAACCTACTGCACTTCTTAAAGTAAAGTGATTAATGATGGAAATAAACAACTGAGAAGGCCGGGAATGTGGTTCTTTAAGATAAGTTGTGTGTTTTTATCACAATGAGGGTAGCGTGACTCATGCTGGCTTAAATTATGGCATTATAAAACACACATTAACAAAAACATCTGCAACGTCTGGGAAAATAGATGGCTTGAATATACAAAAAATATTTAGAAGCAATTAAGTACCTGTTGTAGAGCTTGCTCTCATATATTAATCCTCTCATATGGTTCTGGAAAAGATATAGTTTTGTTTCAATGGGTAAATGCCAATGTTTATTTCTGTTTTTTCTTGCCTTGGAAAATATGGACTTTATAGTCAATAAAATAATTCTGTTCCAGATTTTAACTATTAATAATCAATGAAATAGCTCTTAAACAGAAGAGTACTCAGTTAATATAGGCACAATGATTATACTAACCAGTTCCTTGGCCCAGCTTAAAGGGCTACTCCAACTAAAATAAAACGTGTTTTATATAAAGCAATAATATATCTATAATTCAGTGCTGAGATCAAGTTGTTCTGGTAGCCCAATCCTCCTCCAGTGATGTCACTCCCCTTCACTGGGGGAGGGCAATGCTACCATTGGTCGTCTGTCACCAGTGTGCTCACAAACATTCATTAAATATGTACAGAATTGATATTAGCCAGGCATGAACTCTTCTTCTGATTTGGGTAATGAGACTTTAATGACACTGCTGGGGTGAAGTTGCACCTCTGACATCAATGGGCTTTATCACTCACCCTGAGCACTTCAGATCACAGAATGCCGGCCCTGTCAAAGTGCTGGCAAACCCCACCCATCTTCACCATCCAGCTCGTCCACCGAGGAGGGCTGGGAGGCCGCTCAAAAAAAAATAAAAACCATAGGAGTCTGAATAGGGAGGCTGATCACGGTTATGGCATGTTTCCCACTAAAGGTCCGGAACGCTGAGATTACAAGCTGTGCGTACCGGTACTTTACTTACAGCAATTTGCAGCAGGGCAGTTGCTGTGGGCTGCCCTCTTGGAGCAGCATAATTCCGTTCTTTGTTGGGCTATGTGTGCTGTAACGGCGACATCGCCAGCACAGATGGTGGGTCATGCAAGAGATCAAGAGTCGGACTGAGCCTGCAACAGTGACGACAGGAGGAGCAGAGCCACAAGGAATCAATTCAGACTCCACTTCAGCTAGAATCTACCGCACTGGATATAATATAGCAGAAATGTGGAACTGCACTCAGTCCCATTTGAAATGTATCCGGGTGCAACCAGACCAGTTCCAGTACCAGAAACCAAATGCTCGATGAGGAAAAAATAGAAGAGCTTGACAAAGACTGTGTAGGTCGAAACGTGAGTGGTGGTGGGTTCAATAAATTTGCCTTTTTGCATCCTGGAGTGCCTGGACTTCTCTTCTTTTTTTCCTCATCAAGGATCTACCTCACTGCGATACACAAAGGGTAAATACTTATTAGCTTTAAGCACACAGTGTGCTGGACATAGGAATTCCAATCTCAGTCAGCTCATACATTATATCTCCAGTACACACACTACACCCCCAGCACACAAACTACATCCCCAGCACACACACAAACACACTACATCCCCAACACACACACACGCTACATCCCTAGCACACACACACATTACATACTTAGCACACACAGACACAATAAATCCCTAGCACACACATAGACACACTAAATCCCTAGCACACACATAGACACACTACATCACCAGCATACACACAGACACACTACATCCCCAGCATACACACAGAAACACTACATCCCTACCACACATAAAGAAACTACTACACAACACTGAAGAGGACCCCTCGTAACCCGACCAGTTACCCCTGCTAATTCCCTTCCTTCAGCCATTCAAGAACCCCTTAGAATACAATGAGACCCATTTCCCCCAAGTAACTGGACAAGACCGAGTTCTGGAGGTACAACACTAACCATGCTTTATTGATACACACAGCTTTTATGCACAGACCCCCACAGGGTCTCCATCCTGTTCCATGCAATCCTAGGCTGGAGGGTGATGGTTTACAGGTAACCCTATCCCACTCTGGGAGATACCAACTGCACAACAATTACAAACAGTAAAGCACATTACATACATGGGGAACACCTAGGGGCTCCACACTTTCGGGAAGGGAATGGGGTACACACATGAAATATACATCCCTGGATAGCCCCGGGTCCCACCTAGGACCCCTGCAAATAGTGGGACTATGGGATGTACAGAGCCAGATAAACCATCATACGAAGTCTGGGCTTGGGGCTCTGTACATCCCCGGAAATAGTTCCACAGCGTTGCTTGGTTTATTGGTTTATTACGGTGAATTCAAACTTCGCGCCTAAACCAAGCAACAACCAATCAGCTGAAAGACGCAAAAACAATTTGCGCCAAGCAGTGCTCAGGGAGGAGAGGGATTTCGCCGTGCAATCAGGAGAAAGGATGTGAAACCCATGTGCACCAATTGGCGCTTGGAGAGGAGAGGGGTTTCGCCGCTGAAGCCAGGAGAAAGGGAGCGAAACCTCGTTTGAATGGGCGCTCTGTGATTGGTTGCCTGCACCCTGCAGCCTGATGCCGACCCATCAGGAGAATGGCGTGAACCTCGCTTGAATTGAAGTTGCTTCTCCAGATTGGTTGGCACGAACTTCAAGGTGGCCAGCAAGACTCTGCGGCTGTGAAGCTGACTCACAACTCCAGGATCTTCGCTGGGGCTCACGCCTCTATCTGGTGGCTGCCTCCACTTAGGCAGCCCCGGGGAGAGCGCTCCTTGGGCAGCTACGAGTCTGACCTCGTAGCTCCTCGTAGCTCCCATTGGGAGCAGGTCGGGCGATCCGAACTGCCAGTACCCCAACAGTGTCCCCACCAACCTCAGGAACCCGTTTGCGGAGTCCCGGTGCGAAGATCCCACAAGGGAAGCGTCTCCTTTCTGGATACAAATCCTCCCCTTGGGTGGTGTTCGCCTATACGTATGGCGTCCACCCAGAGGAGCACTCATTAATTACTTCCCTTATTTCACACTTATGATGCAGATGTGAACGTTCTGATTGATTGGTGTGAACATTCTAATGGGGTGCCGGAGAGGCAAACAGGTTCTATTCGCATGAGCGCTCCTGAACGGTCAACAGGGCATATTACACGAAACACATAGAAATACATGTGGAAACGTACAATACACAGGGGAAAACACCTGAACGTGCAGTGGGCATGGTATTCAGTGACGGTGGTCTGCCACAAACACATCCCCAGCACACACACTACATACCTAGCATACACACAGACACACTATATCCCCAGCACACACACTACATCCCCAGCACACACACAGACACTACATGCCCAGCATACACAAAGTCACACTACATCTCCAGCACACACACACTACATCCCCAGCACACACACAGACACACACTACATCCCCAATACACACACACAGACCCCCTTCATCCCCAGCACACAAACAGATATACTACATCCACAGCACACACAAACAGGCACACTACATCTCTAGTAAACACACAGACACACTACATCCCAATCACACACACACTACATCCCCAGCACACACATAGGCACACTACATTCCCAGCACACTCACACAGACACACTACCTCCCCAGCATACAAACTACATCCCCAGACTAATGGCATACACTCCACATGACAATTTAACAAATGTTTGCTTTGTTATTGTTAGTGATGTTTATTGTACTTAGCTAATATTTAAATACCACTGCAGAAGCATATACGTTGTGATGTTTAATTTAGTGTGTATTGATCTGTTACTGGAAGGTATTTATCTAATCATGATATATTTTATTTTGGTTTTAATTATTATAATACAACATAATGAATGTGGGCGTGTTTTGGTGGCGTGGTTGTTGGGAACCCAGGCAGCAAAATGTCTTGGGCCAGCCCTGGTATTATTATTATTATTATTATGTTATTATTTATATAGCGCCAACAAATTCCGCAGGGCTTTACAGTGGGTGGATGAACAAACATGTAGTTCTAACCAGACAAGTTGGACACAAAGTAACAGAGGGATTGAGGGCCCTGCTCAATGAGCGTACATGCTAGAAGGAGTGGGGTAAAGTGACACAAAAGGTAAGGATAGTATTAGACTAATGACAGTTGCAAGAGAGGAATCAGTTGGGAGCTATTAACAGTTTAATTGATACGTTTTTATGAAGAAGTGGGTTTTGAATGATTTTTTGAAGGAGTGGAGACTGGGTGAGCATCTAACGGAGGAGGGAAGTGAGTTCCACAGGAACGGTGCAGTCCTCGAGAAGTCTTGAAGGCGAGCATCAGAGGTATGAGTACGGACAAAAGATAGACATAAGTCTTCAGCAGAGCTTAAGGGCCTAGACAGGACATACTTGCGTATTAGGGAGGATAGATAAGTGGGAGCAGCATTATGTAGAGATTTGAAAGCAAGAACCAGAATTTTGAATTGAACCTTATATCTTACAGAACGCCAATGTAGGGACTGACAGAAGGGTGAAGCGTGGGAGGTGCGGGCGGACAGGAAGATAAGCCTCGCCGCCGAATTCATTATGGACTGTAACGGAGCAAGTTGGGAGCACGTAAGACCACTGAGAAGCGGATTACAGTAGTCAAGGCAAGAAAGGACCGTGGAATGGACCAGCACCTTAGCCACATCTGGCGTTAAGTAGGGCCGGATGTGCGCATTGTTTTTGAGATGGAAGCAGCAGGATTTGGTAATTGACAGAACATGAGGCGAAAGAGAGGACGGAGTCAAAGAGAACACCAAGGCAGCGAGCCTGCGTGGTGCTGCTGATGGTAGCACCGTTGACTTGGAGGGAGACAGACACAGGAGTAGCAACACTTGAGGGAGGAGGGCGGAAAGACCAGAATTTCAGTTTTGGTCAAGTTGAGTGGAAATATGCCAGAGGAGAGAGAGAGATTTAGAATTTTAGTGAGAGGTAGAGAAAGAGAAGAAGACAGAGTACAGATGAGATGCGAGGGAATTGGATCTAGGGAGCCGGAGGTGGGGCAAGATGACTGGAGCAGAGCAGAAACCTCTTCCTCTGTAGTGGGTGCGAATGAACAAAGTCCGAGGTGGTCAAGTTAGTAGGTGGAGGAGGAAAAATAGGGCGAAGAAGAGAGTTAAATGTGTAAAGTCATTTGGGCTCGCGGGAGAGGGTGGTTATGAGGGTATTGAAGTAATTTACTTTTGCAGAGGAAAGAGCCAAGCTGTATTAGCAGCATAAATTTATAGTGGAGAAAGTCAGACGCACAGTGAGACTTTCTCCAACAGCATTCAGCAGTTCTGGAGCATTTTTGGAGGTATCGAGTCAGCTTGGTGTGTCATGGTTGTTGTTGAGAGTGCTTGCTGCGTTTAAATGTAGCAGGTGCCATGATGTCTAGTTGAGAGGAGAGGGTGTAATTGTAGAAGGAGGTTGCAGAGCTAGGACAGGTGAGGTTTGTGATAGGTAAAAAGAGAGTTTGAAGATTAATGGAGAAATGCTATAGGTCAAGACATTGGAGGTATCTGTGTGTGTCATTGTATCAGTATGTGTGTGAGTGTGTGTATCAATGTGTCTGTATCTGTATGTGTGTCAGCTTATATGTTAGTATCTGTATGTCTGTTTAGCTGTGTCTGTGTGTATCTGTATATCTGTGTATTTGTGTGTTTGTCAGTATATGTGTATGTTTATCTGCATGTTTGTCAGTATGTGTGTCTGTGTATCTGCATGTTTATCTGTGTGTCTGTATCTGTATGTGTGTCAGTGATTGTGTCTGTGTGTCTATGTATCTGCATATGTGTCAGTGTGTGTGTCTGTTTCTGTGCGTCTGTGTATCTGCATGTGTGGCAGTGTTTGTATCTGTGTCTGTACATGTGTCAATGTGTGTATCTGTATGTGTATCTGCGTGTCTGTATCTGTATGGGTATGTGTGGTTGTGTTTGTATCTGTATCTGTATGTGTGGCAGTGTGCCTAAAAGTTTCTCTGTTCAACTGTATGTATATCAGGTTTGGCATATGTGTATCTGCATGTGTGTCAGTGTTTGTAAATGTCTCTTTCTTTGCCCAGCCCCTTGAGTTATCTCTTGATTGACTCCTGCTAGCCTTTTAGTGCTCCCTCTTTCTTTAACAGATCTGTTCATTTATTTCACCATGTGCCAACATTCTCATACACTGAAAAAATGACATAAATTGCATTGTTATAGCATACTGTTATTTTCGTTCTTATTGTTATAAATATGTTATGTTATATATATATATATATATATAATTTTACAATATTTAAACTATTTAAACTTTTTACCCAAAAACCTTTTCATTTTTAAGAATACACCAACACTTCTTTAATTGCTATAACTAATTTAATTGAGCAATAAACACCACATTGAAGTATATATGTTTTAATTATAAAATATGTTTAGAACATATTGTCATTGTTTATATTTTGTCTAAAATGTTGCGCAGTGATGTCAGGTTGTCCATTTAATTGCCGAATATCAAACAGTTACATCTTCAGTTCATTGGCCTTTGCTATTGGAAGATGAATATTTAAGTAATCAAATTTGGTCATTCCCAAAAAAGATTTTTTTAAAAAGCAGAGACTTTAAAAACATATTAGCCCCAAGTACCTTTAGAACTAAAATTACTAAAGACACTATACTTAAAGGGTTCCATAAATGTGGGAGATGTAAGGCCTGTAGGTTTTTACCTAAGAAAACTGTTGATTTTATAAGTAAAAAGACTGGGAAAAATTTTGAAATTCAAGACTACATCAACTGTAATAGCACTAATGTGGTCTACTCATTAACATGCGGGTGC